CTGCTGATATATCACCCCTTTGCCTTTGCCTTTGCCTTTCCCAGACACAAGTCACCTGGCCTTCCCTTGTTTTCCCACTGTGATCTTTGTATCCTCTCCCATGCTGGTTCCTTATGTCTAAAACAGGCTCTCTTTTCTTTTGTGCCAAACATTTAAACTCTGCTAAATCAAATCTGTCCTTAATCCCACGTATTCTGCAAGGTATCATGCCTGTTTTGCACAACTTGAAAAGTGTATTGCACTTTCTCAAACAGTTGTCCATGTCATACTGCCTGCCTTTTCCCTTTTATTACCTTTCTCTATCCAAAGAATTGCTTTCTGCTTTCACTTACTTAAGTGCTTATTTTGGGGACAACGAGTTCAGTCACTTCAGAGAAGCATGCATTTTTTATAATATTATTTAAATAGTTACTGCATAAATTGGACCAGAATTAAGCTGCTGGAAATGCAAGAGGACAAACAAATATTTATAAAAATAATTAATAAACCCTTTATACATCTGTCTTTTTACTCCCTTCATTTTACCACTCAAGAACAGAAGGGAACTCCCTTCTGCTGGTCTATGTGACAAAAAGAAAAATGTGGGCAAACGAAAGTGGTACAAGCTGGAAGAAGAAATGACATGTTATTTACCACATGAAATAGTCATGAATGACACTGTGAAAGTATGAACTTTCTCCCTATCTTCTGGGTTCTCTCCTCCACACAGTCACTACTGGGATTTTTTTTTTTTTAATCTGCAATTTTGGGAAGAAAATACATTTGGTATCATTTTATAATATATTTTTAAAAGAAAATGAAAACCCAGAGTCTCTCTAGCCTTTTAGAGAAAAAGAAATGCAATTAAACAGCCCAAATATGTCATAGTAAAATTGTCAAGCGATAGCATTACTTTTCAGAACTGAAGTAATGCTCTGCTTTTTGGTATGAATGTTTGCTGACCTTTGTATTGCAGGATTCAATGTCAACCATTTAGACATTGCCCCAAGGTATGCCAGCATTTTAATGGGGATTTCTAATGGAGTCGGGACCTTGTCTGGAATGGTTTGCCCTATAATTGTCGGAGCAATGACAAAGAACAAGGTAAATGGCAATACGGTTTTCAAATCTTCCAGTTTAATACCACTAGTTTCAAGAAAAAGAGCTTTCCATAGTACAACCTGCCAGAATATCCATATTAGAGTCTGACACCTCTAGGGGATTGCATCCGGGAACTTGTAAATTTGAAGCATGCTTCACTATATGTTCACTAGGTCAATGCTTTTGTAAGCTAATGAATAGTGATTTTCCAAAGGAAGAAATAACTAGAAACTAGACACTTAAATGTTTTAGTTGTGCTGACTGTCACTGCCTCAATCCCTAATTTAAATCTTTCAGCTCAGAAGAGGTAGGTAAGTCTGTGCACTGGTCTGATCTAGCAAATTTCTTCTTTACAGACACGTGAAGAGTGGCAGTATGTCTTCCTCATTGCTGCTTTAGTTCATTATGGAGGTGTTATATTCTATGGCATATTTGCTTCAGGAGAGAAACAACCCTGGGCAGACCCTGAACAGACAAGTGAAGAGAAATGTGGCTTTATTCATGAAGATGAACTTGCTGAAGAGACAGGGGACATTACTCAGAATTATGTAAATTATGGTACCACCAAGTCTTATGGTGCTACAACCCAGGTCAACGGCGGCTGGCCTAATGGTTGGGAGAAAAAAGAGGAATTTGTACAAGAGGAAGTACAAGACTCATACAACTACAAGGAAGGAGATTATTCATAACAAACCTAAATATTGGGTATATTTTGTAGTGTTTGTGATTAAATTCATTGTGATTGTTTGCACACAGAAATAAAATGTGGTATAAACATGTAAACACATATCAAACAGGAAGGTCTTACTGTAAAAAAAATCCATTAAAGTGCAATCTGTATGAGTTGTGACATGTCATCACTTTCATTAGGTTATATTTGTTCTATAAACATTAGAGTTTTAAGGGTTTACTGGTCAAAACTATAGAGGCAATTAGATACTTACAGTATACAAGAGCTAAAACTCGTAACTAAGGATTAAAGCACAACTAAGCAACCAAGTTGACACATCTAATGCTCTTTTTAGCAAGCCAAAATTACTTGACCATTAAAAATGCACTTACATATTTGTTACACTGTATTGAAAGAGATTGTGTTAAATACACACGTTTACTCAGTGCAATGTAGGAATTGTGTGTTTAGTCTAAGACAAGACCTTTCTTAAAGAAGAAAGGTTGAGTCCTAGGCATTTACAGAGGATTGATCCAGTTCCTTTCATGGTAATTGTATCAAGCCTAAAGAACAAATAGGGCATATTGTATGTTTATTGTGATTACATGCTGCAGGCTACTCTGTGATGAATAAAGGAATTATTTAGGAGTTTTATACTGAATGTTCGGGCACAAATTTTTATTTCTATTCTTTACAGAATCTTATGAAATTATAGGCATTGTCATGTTCCTCCCTGTATTTATCAACTAATATAAAAACAATATATAATGTTAAGTCTGACTTTTCATGCAGACTGTCAAATCCCTTTATCAAAAAACAAGCTTTATTATTCTTTTCTTTGCAGTATACTCCAACTTTGTACTGGTGTCTTTAGAGAGAGAGAAAAAAACAATATAACCTAGAAAAAGATATAGTCTTCTACAAAATTCCAAAGAGAAATTTACTATGAGCAAGTAGCCCTATGAAAAAGGATGTATTTGTTTTGCAGAATATTTTGAATCCAATAGAAGAAACAGAGAATAATTTAACCCTTATTCTTCCCTTAATAGCTTTCATATTTTTACACATCGTGCCACAGTTGTATACATAGATATAAGTTTATTGAAGATACTGTAATTATAGAAAATGTTCCTATTTTAGAAATCCCTGAAATAAAAAATGTATTTGTCTTTCGATTAAACCTAATAATAATGGACACTGAATATGAGTAACATAAACTCACAATAAACCAAAGTGGCAAATAACTAGTGTTGGGTTGAAAGAAGCCAACAAGCATCACGCTTGTCTTTTTAGCATAACTCAACAGTGACTGCAACCTTAGTGTACCAAGCAATAAGTGCAATGCATTCTGAAGTGCATAATCTTCTAGACTATATATTAACCTTCATTTAGCTTGTTGTATATATTTGGGGTTGTTGGGATTAAACCAAACTGAACCAAACTGACGTTAGCAACACCAGACCACTTCTTAATACTCTAAAATGACAACAATGATCCATTTCTTAATTCAATCAAATGATTATTATTGTATGTAATAATCCATTCTGGATTCTTGGTCTGTTCATTGTATTGTGCTAGTGATTGGAAACCCTGCTACCGCAATATACAACTTGAGGATTGTTTCTTCTCCTTTTTTTTAATGCAAATCATACCTTGACCTTAAGAAAAAAATATTTTGCTTTGTGCCTCAAAGTGATGTAAAATGTGACCATAGCTTTTGCTGTGTTTAATGAAAAAGATGTGGACTGTGTCACTTTTGTTGCTGCAAAAAGTGTTAATAAAATGCTCTATTTATCCTTTTATATAAAAAAGGACCATTGTAGTTTCTTGTCATTTTTTTAGATGCACTTTTATATAGAAGACTAAAATTATAGTCACTGCAGAGCAAATTCTGCTATCGACATGGAGATAATGTCTTACGTCCTGGCTGGGAGGTGTGCTGAATACCCAGTATCCTGCATTGCCTCCTCTCTCCTCCGGCCATGCACAGAGGTGTGGTGGGAGAGGCACCTAACTCTATATTGCTGTTCCTCCTCTCATGAAGATGGCTGGAGTAGGCATGGAAGAGAAAAGAGCAGGACGATCAATGTGCCAGCCAATGCAGTGAAACTGGGAAAGACAGGCTAATCTGTGTTAGCTAAAGAGCTGGCATGGATCAGCATTTTCTAAAGAAAATGAAAAGCATCACAGACTGCTGTTCTTGGGACTTGTTTCCTTCCTTCTGCAACAAGACTCCCTAACTGAAACATAACGTTACTTTCCATCCATCTTTGGATAGACCCTAGAGGAATCAGTAAATTCAACAAATCCTATATTAAAAGTATAATTACTATATATAGTATAGTATAT